CCAGAAACAGGCCTATTTCCGGACTTCCGGAAGGCCCATTTTTTTCCCCGCTCTCAGACCATCCGCACGGACCCTGCATTTACCTGCATGGAAAATTGGCAGTGTGGAGACTCCTGGGAGGGATGGGGTGGGCGGGGACAGCCAGTCAGTTCAAATATTGGTTCAGTGAACCAGATGCAAATTTAACATCCGGTTTGCCCGAACCGGTCTGAACCAGTAGAATCCCACCCGATTCAGAGGCATTGCCAGAAAGAAAACAGAATGAAATTTCCTCCTTAAATTTTTGCATAGAAGGAAGGAATTTGATGATTGGGCACTCTGTCAGTGAAGAACGTTGGTACACTTAGTAAAACCTTGCCCTTCCGGTCCACATAAAAATATACAGAGATCGGAGGATCTATCCCGGAGTTTTCAACCTGCTGTGAATCTCATCTTGTTCTGAAAAACAGTTGCAAGCATATCCGGGCTGTATATTAACCATATCCTCAATCTCACCCAAATCCTGTGATGTAACCTTGCTAGAAAATGTTGCAACTGGGATTTGTTGGAGGGGGGCGGGAACAATATTGTAAAGCAGGCATCGGAAACAAGCCCCAGACTGTTAGTAAGAAAACGACATACTCTTGCCTTATAGAGTTGGGCAACGTTAGGAATCGACATCTTTATTTATTTATTTATTTGATCTGTCAATCGCTTACAAGATACAGAATAAACATACTTTTGAATACATGAGATGGATACTTATAAGAAAAATAAAAAGAAACAATAGGACAGGGACGGTAGGCACGATTGGTGCGCCTAACCACGCCCCCTCATCTCAATTAATCTTAATCTTGAATTAATCTTAATTCATCTTAATCTTGAAGCTCAAGGAGTTTGGAGCTCAAAGTCTCAAAAAACGTTCTACTTAGTACATTAGCACAGGGGTCCCCAACCCCCAGTCCATGAACCGGCACCGGGCTGTGGCATGCCAGAAACTGGACCACGCAAACAAGCAATCTCCCCCATCGGCGGGATGCAGGCAGCACATGAAACCGTGACCCGACTGATCTGCGGAAAAACCTCTCTCCAAGGAACTAGTCCCTGGTGCTCAAAAGGTTGGGGGCTGCTGCATTAGTATATGGATCGTCCTTGAGTTATGACCATTAGTTCAGCACCTGTTCAGTGATATACAGTGGCACTTAGCAATAGCACTTAGACTTATATACCGCTTCACAGTGCTTTATAGGCCCTCTCTAAGCAGTTTACAGAGTCAGCCTGTTGCCCCCAACTATCTGGGTCCTCATTTTACCGACCTCGGAAGGATAGAAGGCTGAGTCAACCTCGAGCCTGGTGAGATTTAAATTGCAGGCAGCCGGCAGGCAGCAGAAACAACCTGCAGTACTGCATTCTAACCACTGTGCCACCATGGCAGAATGATATAAAATTACAATTTTAATGATTGCAGTAGTGTTTATATTGTTGGTTGTACAGGTAGTCCTAGACTTACGATCACAAATTCACAACTGAACCCAAAATTTATAGTTAAGGGAGAATGTGTTAAGTGAGTTTTATCCCATTTTACGACCGTTCTTGCCACAGTTGTTAAGTGAATCACTGCAGTTGATAAGTTAGTAACCTGGTTGTTCCGTGAATCTGGCTTCCCCATTGACTTTGCTTGTCAGGAGGTCGCAAAAGGGGATCCCATGACCCTGGGACACTGCAATGGTCGTAAGTATGAGCCAGCTGCCAAACATCCCGTGGCCATCAAGATGCTGCAAAGGCCGTAGGTGTGAAAAATGGTCATAAGTAACTTTTTTCAGTGCTGTTGTAACTTTGAATGGTCACTAAATGAAGTGTTGTAAGTCAAGGACTTCCTGTGTTTACATTTCAATAGATTTCAAGATACTAAGAATTTTCTAATACCTTTAAAGTCACGTGCTTTACTTTTGTGCATTGAAGCAGCTCCAAAATATCTGTAATCAATCATTGGGGATTAAGAAAGCTGCTTTCCAACTGATCTAAAGTGGGGATTTGGTAGGTCAAACGTGTGTTCTGTAAGTGAACAACCAGTTCTCTTTTCCTGATCCATTTCATCATCCCTGAAGAGGCCTTGTTTTCTTCTACTTCCACCCTCTGCTGGCAGTTCTCACTGTACAAGGAAATATACATCTACTCATTTCAAGGACACGCATCACTTCTCTATTCAGTATCGTAGTCACGTCTTCCAATTTCTCCATCCTGGTTCCAGATGCCTGTTGTGTTGCACTTCAACTCCCATCAGCCTCAGCTGCTAGCCCTATACCTTTTTATTTTCCACTTGCCTGCTTTCCTCCCCTTTTGTAGAGGAAAAATCTCTCCTCTCTTTTAAACGTACTTTAAAGGTAAAGGTTCCCCCTCGCACATACATGCTAGTTGTTTCTGGCTCTAGGGCAGGGGTGGGCAAACTTTTTGGCTTGGGGGCCTCATTGACTTTTAAAATTTGACAGACGGGCCGGGTCAGCACAAGATACGATACATATAAAAAACTGAAAAATCTCCGCAAAATCAAGTCACTGCGCCTAATGCACCACCTGGTGTCGAAATGCCTGTCATTACAAGTCAAAATCAAATGAATGCAATCATTCAATCATTCACATCAAACCTTAATTCTGTACCAATCTTCGGCGGGCCGGATTAAAAAGACCAACGGGCCGGATGTGGCCCGCGGGCCGTAGTTTGCCCACCCCTGCTCTAGGGGGTGGTGCTCATCTCCGTTACAAAGCTGAAGAGCCAGCGCTGTCCGAAAATGTCTCCGTGGTCATGTGGCCGGCATGACTAAAAGCCAAAGGCACATGGAACGCTGTTACCTTCCCACCAAAGTGGTCCCTGTTTTTCTACTTGCATTTTTTACATGTTTTCGAACTGCTAGGTTGGCAGAAACTGGGACAAGTAACAGGAGCTCACTCCATTACGCAGCTCTAGGGATTCGAACACTGAGCCACCACATCCCTAGTTCTAAATAGTATGGGATGAGAAAGAACAGGCAATGATTTTCACTGGAAGATTGGAGTGGGACATAACATGACCAGCAATAATGGGACAATGACAACAATACTGTTGTTTTCTTTAAAACAAGGAAATTAATGTGTATTTGTACACATTTGTACACATTTGGCGGTGCTAGGGATTCGAACCGCCAAATTGCCGACCTTTCTGATCGACAAGCTCAGCGTCTTAGCCGAGCCACCACACAAAATAAAAATATAGATGCTTTCAAAGTTCTGGCTGGCTCATTTTGACGCCACCTTCTACGTCAATCTCTTCCAGCAGTTCCCATACCCAAACTTCCTCCAGTTTAAACAGGTAGTTATAATCGACAAAGGCCCCCGTGGCTTGAGACCAGCTTCCTGGCAAGTTTAATGACTTTCTGAGCTGGCCATGCCTTTTGTGCTCTCTGTCCCCCTGGGAGTCAGTGAACCACAACTGCTGAATACGCGAGGTGCTGTTTTGTACGCTTCAAGGAACAAACACATAGAACAAAATGTAGAACCTTTCTTGCTGCCCAGGGGAAAAAAATGCCAAAGCTTTCCCCGCCGATCTCTGCCCTCTGAAATTAATCCAGAGAGCCTTGAAAGTTGGGCACTCAATGAGTATCTTATGATCTTTTGCACAGGTCTTAGGTTACAAAAGAGCAAGCTTTTTTTTTTTTTTTGGCAATGGGAGCCTTAACTTCCAAAACTTACTTCAAGCCAGATAAGGTAATCCTTGATTTACGACTGTTATTGAGCCTGTCCATTATGGTCATTAAGTCATGACGGTTGCAAAGTGGGTTACTATCAACTTGTAAAGCATTCCTATGCCTGTTTTAGAGTTGCCATAAATGGGAGGAGGGAATGAAGGAGCAGGCGGCAGTTTAAAACCAGAAGTACATTCCACACTTATCTCACAAAGTGTTATTGGTTAGCCAGCAGCAGGTGCGGATGGTGGAGGAGAGAGAGGACTCAGATGAGAGGCCAGGACCATCAGGGTTAGGGTTCAGATATTCTGGGGGCTGGTAGCAGTGATGAGGTTCCCGAGGAGCCTGTGCCAAGTGCGCACAGGAATGCTCATAGGAGAGAACAATTACAGCAGCATGGGCGACTCGGGAGTAAGGCTGCAAAGTAATGGTAAATTTTATCCTCAAGATGATAAAAGCCAGGTTTGAAAAAGCATTCTTTGCAGAAGGCAAAGACGCTCTGAAACTCAGCCTCATGGACATTATAGTATTTGAAAACTCTTGTAACCTATTTCTTATCTGTGGGTTTTTGGCAGCCTTGAAGAACAACTTGGCAAGGCTCTTTCTTGTCGGAGCTAATTTGTTGGAAGCAGCCTTTTATCTGTGAAGAGGATTAGTGAATGAAACCTTAAAAGGTGGGGGCTGCTGCCTTTATCTTGTGTTTGCTGTCTTGGAACCAGGTTGGGTCAGAACACAAAGAAACTATCCGGTCTTCTACCCCTGAAAATCCTTAATTGGAGAACGTGATCGATGACACTCAGCACATGCTTCATTGGAGAATCTGATTTATGATACATACGGGGGAGGGGGGAAACAGGGTCACGGGTGACTAAATACGTATGCCATACAGGCTAATGCTGGACATGTTGCTCCTAATAAATCTTCTGGATTCTTTTGAAGCTTGGCTTGAGGCTCATGATTTAATTAGGGCAATTGCCGGAATCCTGACAGTTCCCTCCGTTATGCAGATTCAAACTGCTGACCTTTCTGATTGACAAGCTCAGCATCTTAGCCAGAGTCACCACCATGTCCCCTTATAGGAACATTAGGGGATCGTATACCTGGTGCCAAGGGGTTTGGATTACCTCTGGGTCTTGTAGATTTGGAGACCTGGTTTATTTTTTGTCCGACAGTGAAATGAGATATAACTGGGCCAGTTCTTGGAAAGATATGGGAAATATAACCGAGCCAGTTCTTGGAAAGAACTGGAAAGATATAGGAAGAAGAATGCAGGTTGCAGGCACTTCCTTGACTGAGGAACGGAGAACAAAGCGATGAAATCATATTCAAGCTGCTGCCGTTGCTTTTCATCGTATCAAAATCCACCTGGTTGCCAACTTTTATTGGTTTTACGGTGCGGATAAAATTACATTATAAAACCCCCAAGTTATGAAACCCATACAAAAAGAGACGGAGATAAGGCTGGCCCTCAAAACCGAGTCAAACCTCTCTTGCCAGGGTCGAAGAGGGAGGGAGAAAAGAACTTTAAAAAAACAACAAAAAAGCCTCGAAGACAAAGAAAGCAGACAAGCTGCTGCTCCGACTCCGAAGTAAACCTTGATCCAAAATGAACTTGGCCCCCAAGGAGAAGGGCCACTACAGACATAGGTCCTGCCAGATCGCCATACACATTTTCACACACGAGCAAGAATGTACTAGGTCAGTGATGGCTAACCTATGACACGCGTGTCACTCGTGACACGCCGAGGCACTTTGACTGACATGCCTGTTGGTGTGGGGAAAACCTGCACATTTAGAGGCTGCCTGTGCTCTGCTCCAATCCCTGCTCCCTGCTTGTTGCGTGGAGGCGTGGTGTCACCGCTGCCGCAAGATCTTTGCAGCAGAGAACCAGTTTTAACCGCCATAAACTGAGGTTTGTCAGTTTCATTACCTCAGGAACAGGAGGAAAGGAGATCCATGAGGTTCACAGCCCTGTAAGGTGGCCTTCCGATCCCCACATCCTGCACCTGCAGCCCTGAGACCAGGGAGACGAGTTTCACAGCCCTGTGTGATCACCCCAGCCCAGTCCGTCATAAACCAAATTGTTGATATTTCTTGAAGTGACACACAACCCGAGGAAGGCTACACTTTTCCCCAATTTTCGACACACCAAGCTGAAAAGGTTAGCCATCACTGTACTAGGTGATGGCAAAAAAAGGCCTTTCAAATTGATGCTTGGTTTTTAAACTTCTATGCCTTCCCAGGATGAGTTGATGCACAAAACAAAACAAAAACCCACGTACAACCTGTCTGCAGTAGAATTTGGACAGCCTCCTTGCTTCTCTACTCAGAAAAATAAAATAAATTGAGCATTCCCAAACCCCCGAGAGGTTGCTTTTTTGGCCCAGAAAGCTGGAGAGCGCTCCCAATTTCTTGCTTTTGCTGTTTTGCCTCCAGGATAGGGGAAACAGGGGCACAAAATGGGACAACTCGCCTCAGCCAACTCGCCTTGGGACAACTCAACAATTTCATTTACTTATTTAATCATTTAAAAGTTATTTTAAGATTTGCCGTTCATGTTTTATTTTGTCCCTCCTTTGGCATTCCTTTCTTTAATGCAGAGGTCTTCAAACTTGGCAACTTTAAGGCTTGTGCACTTCAACTCCCATAGCTGGCTGGAGAATTCTGGGAGTTGAAGTCCAAAGTTGCCAAGTTTGGGGACCCCTGCTTTAATGACTCCATTTGACTATTTCTCAAAAAAGCTCTCGTCCTGCGGCGAGTTGGCCCCCAGTCAGTTGGCCACAGCAATTTGGCTGTGGCGAGATGGCCATGGTGAATTGGCCACATCGTCGTAGACCAAAGATGTCAAATTCAAGGCCTGCAGGCAGGCCCGATCCGGCCCCTGTGGGATGCTTTAAATCTGGCCTGTGGGGAACGGCCTAGAAATAACAAAGATCCAGCCCGCACCCCATTTTGGCTGGCAAGGTGCCGCAGGAATCATCCATCCGGTCTCCCCCTTGGCCTCCTCTCAGCCGGCCCACGGAGGAGAACTACAATGCTGATCAGGACCTCGAAGAAACCCAGTTTGACACCCCTGTCGCAGATCCAAGTGTCAAAAGATTTGGCTGGGTCACGTAAAGTTAGTGAGCTCAGGGAAGAGAGAGAGAGAGGGCAAAATGGCCACCGCCTCAGCCTTCACATCAAAATAAAATCAAATGAAGATGACACCCCACCCCCCCACCCCCGCCGGTTCTCTGGTCTCCCATGGATGTTTCTCCAGCAGACCACGAGAGTCAGACATTGTGGGCACATCAATTGTGAGGAAAGTCCTTCAGGAGCTCAGATCTCTCCTGGGCCAAGAGTTGTCTTTGTTGCAGAGGTTTCATTTCCTTTCACACCCAACCCGCCCCTTCCTCTCCAGACACGCTTCTTCCGTCTTCTTCTCTCCTTTCCACCAACATGGCGTTTTCTTAAGGCAAATTCTTCTTGGGAGCTGAGCAGCTTCGGTGTTCCACAAATGACGAGACGAGAGGAAGTCCACACGGTGGGGGTGGAAGAAAGGGGAAGTCAGGGGTGGGGCCCGGGAGGAGAGGCGATTTCACATGCAGAAGTGGGCAGCGGGAACCAGGTTTAAACCTGAGAGGGAGGGAAGCTGCTGCTGTCCGGCAGCACGTCCTGGTGGGCCTCCAGGCGAGCCAGGCGGCTCTGTTCCAGCGCAATCGCTTCCGCCGAATGTTTGCATTTCTCCGAACCGCACTGGCAGGTGAAATATTTGCTTTTGATGTCCCAGAAACGGTCCCCGTAGTCAAATCTGCAGCACAGGTTACAAGGAAGAGGGGGAAAAAAAGAGAGAGCATAAAAGTGACTTAGTTCACCCTGAAAACTGGAACAATCTAGCTTTTCAAAACCCAGAAAAGCTTAGGGACAAAACCGTCTCCTGCTTGGGCAGGGTGTTGGATTAAATGACCGACAAGCTCCCTTCCAGCTCTAATCTAATCTAATCTAATCGGTCATGTCTCCTCCTCTCTTTTATGGATGGATGGACTCCTGTCAGCCTCCCCAGGCAGACCAGGCAAGAAATACAACCCGACGAGCTAATTCTACTTTATTGTAAGCCTATCTTAACAGAATCTTAAAAGTCTGAACATACAAAGCTCCCACTGTCTCTTTTTAAAGCCTGCTTAAATTAGGAAGCATTTTGCTAAATTTCTTTCTGTGCCTGTTATGCAGCTAGGGGCTCTCCTTATTCCCCAGATAATCCTTTTATCTGATCTGCCAGCTGTGGGACACGCGGGCCGCCATTTCGGGGGTGGTGGTGCATGACTCGCTCGGCACTGATAACGAGCCGGAGAGCCAGAAGGAACTAGCCAACAGCTGAGAGGCACTAATTCAGAGGCCGATGGCGTTTCCCTTATTTGGCTGTTGGGAGTTAATCACCAGGTGATTTTGGGGGAGGCTTTTGCGCGGGGTTAAAAGGTGGTGGGGAGCACTAGGTAGGCAGTCCTGACTAAATTTGCATTACATGATCGTGCTGCTTGCAAATAGAAGATTAAACACTTCAAAGCCAAGTCAAGCGTGCTTGTGATTATTGAAACGGAACCTGACAGGTAACCAGGACTCTTTAGCTACTTAGGATGGCAGAGGGTTCTCTAGGCAACATCCCTTCCTCCTCTTCCAAAGTCATCCCCTTATACCATTACAGCGGAACCTCGGGTTGCGAGTGCTTCTGTCCACGACCAAATTGGGTGACGACCAAAAATTTCAGAAAACGTTTGCATCTGGTCGCGAACACATCTTTGGGTGGCAACCAAACACAGCCGCAGCAATTTCCCCTTCCGCACCATTTTTTTTTTATTTTTTGCCTGCGCATTCTCCACCAGCCGTGCTTCCGGTCACGACCAAATTGGGTTACGACCAAAGTCCTGGAACAGATTACGGTCGTGACCCGAGATTCCATTGTATTTGTATGAGCCACGGTGACGCAGTGGTTAGAGTGCAGTAACTGCAGGCTACTTCTGCTGGCTGCCTTCAATTTGACAGTTCGAATCTCACCAGGCTCAAGGTTGACTCAGCCTTCCATCCTTCCAAGGTGGGTAAAATGAGGACACAGACTGTTGGGAGGCAATAGGTTTGACTCTGCAAACAGCTTAGAGAGGGCTGTAAAGCACTGTAAAGCGGTATATAAGTCTATTGCTGTATCTCTCCAGTCCACTTTTTCAAACACCCTCCCCCAGCAAAAGAAGGCAGAAGTTACAAAGGAAAGGAGCCTCCCAAGTTATATTTCCCTACCTAGGGGAGGGTCCGAGCCCACCTTCATGCTTGTTCAATTCCTGTAATGGTACGTGAGACTGACCTGTGGTGACAGAAGGAAGAGCCGCAGACCGGACACCAGTCAGATAAGAGGCAGCATAGCCTGCAGCAGGAATGTGGGTGTGGCAAACATCTCGTAAGAGACTCACCCTAGTTTCTTGGACAGGAAAAGCAACCGGAGAGAACCAGGGGTGGGATTCAAATTTTGTAACAACTGCTTCTATGGTTGTGGCTAGGTGGGCGTGGTCATGTAACTGGGTGGGCATGGCTTTTTTGGGCAGCCCCCCCCACCCCGATGGTTGTTTTTACTCCCAGAAGGCTCCCCTGGGGCTCAGGAAGAAAAAAAATGGAGCACAAGGATAGCATTTCTGAACAGTGGTGGGATTCAACATTTTTACTACTGGTTCTGTGGGTGTGGTATGGCTTGGTGGGCGCGGCGTGACAGGTGTGGCCAGGGAAGGTTACTGCGAAATCCTCATTCCCTCCCCACCCCACTAACCTGCTTTCCAGCTCCGTTCTCCTGTGCAGGGCAACCAAAGAAGACCCAGCCAATCAGCTGGGACTCGGGAGGCAGAGAAGAGATGGGGGTGGGGCTAGTCAGAGGTGGTATCTGCCGGTTCTCCGAACTACTCAAAGTTTCCGCTACTAGTTCTCCAAAACTGGTCAGATCCTGCTGAATACCACCTCTGATTCTGACTCTGCAACCGTTTCCTGGCTAATTCCACACAATGCTCTTTCATCCCAGATACACACTCAACACACAATTTCCCTTAAGACTGACCCAAGCTCTTCGCCAGTCTGAATGTCCCGGCTGCTGAAGAAAGCAATGCGTGGGAAGCGCAGATCCTGGTGCAACATGAACACTCGTACGGGGATGATATTAGGGTCACACAAGTGGTTGATGAATCGGCTGACATTGCCATAATAACGGGCATCGATGCAGTAAACCTCGCCATCCTGTAGGAGGAAAAAGCAAGCATGATCCAAACTTTTCTTTTTTGACATTTAACTTTTTAATTAGTTGATCCAAGTATAAAATATGAAGAAAAAAAAGCGTGAAAAAATAAGAAGAGAGGGAGGGAAAAAGAAGGGTATATAGTGTAACAGGAGAAAAAGGAAAAAGAAAAGGGCACAGACTTCCGACTCTCTTTAGCACAGTAGAAAATAACATTACAATCACAACTTTTTGCTTTTACACAACGGTATGAACAAGCAGTTTCTATAACAATAAGCCTGTCTAGTTTACAAAAACAGAATCAAAGTTTCATTTCCCCCCCTACTGTAAGCACAATATCCGGAAGCAATTTCAAAATAAATAAAATAGAGACAAAATTAAATATATTCTCTTCTTCGGATAAACTATCTCTTTGCTGTGGGGGATAATATATCATTCATTCTCATATTTTCAAATCTAGTCAAAAATATTTTACAAACTTTGGGATATTATCCAAACTCTTCTGAATGGTAGTAGAATCCTAGGGTTGGAAGGGAATTTAGAGGTCATCTAGTCCAATTAGATGACCTGATTGAACTAGAGGACCGATAAGATGAAACGAGAGGGATAAGGATTAGGATTAATAATTTAATTGAAACAGATATGAAAATAATATTCTAAGATAGGATTACTAATTAAGATATATAAGTGTACACGGAAGATATTCGAAATTAATATGCAGTATGGGGAAATATGTGGAACCTGAGAGGAGATATATATATATATATATATATATATATATATATATTCGGGTTTTCTCCCGCGTAAGATTGGAAGTATCTAGGCAACGTTTCGATGAAGTCTCATTCATCATCTTCAGGCTTGTGTCTTCAGCTCTGTGCTTCTCAGAGCATGTGTGGCTGAGATATTGGCTGTGTGTCTATCAGTCTCCTGTGTTGTAATGACCTGGGTAATGGGCTGTGCGATGAACATCGCATCACAGCCACCTGCTCAGGATATCACATCACAGAACTCAGGAGGTTACACCACAAAACCTCAGGATGTTATAACACAGCCAACGACCCAGGAGATTACAGCACAAGATCCAGGATGTCACAACAGTAGAACCCAGAAGGTCATCACACAGCCCATACCCAGGTCGTTACAACCCTAACCCTAAAGATGGAGCTGATGGGGAGAAGAAAGGAATTGTTATTTCCCATAGCAAAGGTGTCTTTTAGAGTTGCCAACAGAAAGGGAGGGGGGAGCAGTGCAGCAGCTTGCAAACCGAACCTGCATTCCATAAATGTTTTCAAAGAGAAACTCTAGGTGACTGAAGTTTCTGCCACACAAAATTCTAACTGGAGAATATGATTGATGACTCCTGGCTATGGATGTGTCCCATTGGAGAATATGAATTACGATACACCCAGGGGGTGGGGGGGAAACCAGAACCAAGGGTGACAATGAATGATGTGTCTCAGAGTCGGCTACACTCAGGCAATGCCAGACCTTTTAACTTCCAATAAATCCTTTTTGAAGTTTTGGAAGTTTGGCTCGAGACTCATGATTTAAATGGGGTTAAGTGCTGGAATCCTGACAGCTAGCTGGGCTCAGAAGGTCGCAAAAGGGGATCGCATGACCCCGGGACACAGCAATCGTCATAAATACAAGTCGGCTGCCAAGTGTCTGAATTCTGAATGGTCATAAGTGAGAAAAATGCCACTATTTTCAGTGCTGTTGTAAACTTTGAACTGTTATAAGTTGAGGGCTACCCGTATGAAGATAGGTGTAAGACACAGTAATAAGGACAAATAGGCTGAAAAACAGCTTCTATCCCAGGGCAGTAACTCTGTTGAATTCTACCGTATAGAATAATATTCATGCAATATCAGAGGTTTTCAATTCAATTGCACAGAATGTGAAGGATGTGTGTTTGTGTTTTATTTTCATAGTCATAATGTATACTGAAGATGGTCTTTAATTTCGTTGTACAAGGTGCAATGACAATAAAGTAAACTAAACTAAACTGATCCCCAATTTTTAACTTTACCTTATTGTCTAGATCAAACAGGTATGAATCGTCTTCCCTTACGTCAGCTTCGGCATCGGAAATTAATTCTCCTACATACCTTTTCAGACAATGAAACGTAACAAGGGGAGAGAGGTTAGCAAGGATGACTTTCCCCCTTAAGTCAGCATGTTACCAAAAGCCCCCAACCCTGAAGGCATACAGCAATCCTCCCTTCTCCCCTCCCCCATATATAAAATGAAAATAGTTTCACTCACTCGCATATGAAGGTTCCCTGGGGGATGGTCTGAAGGGCACGGACCCCCCAACCCATTTTCGCCGTTCGGTACAGCTGCAGGCGAACCCTTCAATCAAGAATATACCAAAGGTGCAGTTGTGAAAATGTAAAGCTTGCTTCCTTAAATGTTATTTATAGAGCCATGTTTGTCAACCTTAGCAGGTTTCAAATAAGTGAACTTCAACTCCCAGAATTCTCCAGCCACCATAGTTGGCTGGGGAATTCTGGGAGTTGAAGTCCACTCCGCTGAAAGTTGCTAAGGTTGATAAAGACTGCATAGGGTATTAAAAATAAAGAGGGAATCCAATTTAAAAAACTTCTAAAAAAACAACCGCCCTCTGGGAGAGTAGGAAATATTTAAGCCAGATTTCCTTAACCTGTACCCTTCAGATGTGTTGCACTGCAATTCTTCCCAATTTCCAAATAGTAAAAGGGTAAAGGTTCCCCTTGCACATATGTGCTAGTTGTTTCCAGCTCATCTCCGTTACAAAGCTGAAGAGCCAGCGCTGTCCGAAGACGTCTCCGTGGTCATGTGGCCGGCATTGACTAAATGCCGAAGGTGCACGGAACGTTGCTACCTTCCCACCAAAGTGGTCCCTATTTTTCTACTGGCATTTTTACATGCTTTCGAACTGCTAGGTTGGCAGAAGCTGGGACAAGTAACAGGAGCTCACTCCATTACACAGCGCTAGGGATTCGAACACTGAGCCACCACATCCCTAGTTCTAAATAGTATGGGGTGAGAAAGAACAGGCTATGATTTTTACTGGAAGATTGGAGTGGGACATAACAAAGACCAGCAATAATGGGACAATGACAACAATACTGTTGTTTTCTTTAAAACAAGGAAATTAATGTGTATTTGTAATAATACTTTGGAATGATCTTCGGAGATGGGAAAAAGATGCTGCCTAGGCAATGATTCGAGAAGAGAGAGCATAGCCCACAGTTGCATAATGGGCAGAGAAGAAAAAAAAACTAAAAAAGGAACTTCCTTATCTTCTCAGGCTGTAAATTAGATGGCAGGAGACTTGTACTATCAGACCTGTTAACAGTGGCCTTAAAATAAACAGAATTAGCTCATGTGGTTATGTTTCCTGTCTGGTTTATCTGGGCAGGCTGTCCCTATTATCTCGTGTTGTTGTAATTTGTAGGGTGTGTCAAATTTTTCAACTTTCAACTTCCAAACATTAGGGGTGCTCAGCAAGGCATGTGACATGCCTTGGGGATTGTAAAAATATTTTGGTTTAACATAATTTAGCCATGCTTGGTAAGTAGCTACATAAATATAACTTTTTAACATTTTGTTTCACAAATGCAGTAAATTCCACAGGTGAGAATTCATTCCCACATGCTACTAATTTCCAAGTCTCCACCCCCCGCCCACCCTCAATTTTTGCAATTTTCTATTTTCAGAAGTGTTTTGGCGTTTTGTTCCAATAGTTGAGGGGTTCCTACCAAGATGAGGTCAAACTATTTTCCAAAACACCAAAAGGCAAGACGAGAAACAATGCATGGGAACCAAGCAAGGAGAGAAGGAAACTAGAGCTAAGGTGAATTTTCCTAACAGTGAGAGCAATTAACCAAAAGAACAGCTTGCCTTGGGAAGTGATGGGTGCTTCATCCCTGGAAGCTTTCAAGAAGAGACTGGACAATTATTTATCTGAAATGGTATAGGGACTCCTGCTCAAACAGTGGGTTGGACTAGAAGACCTCCAAGGTCCCTTCCAAGTCTATTATTCTATGTTCTAATCTATGCTTTCTTTCTAGTGAGGAAGGGAGAGAGACAAAGGACGTGTATGTGCATGTGTGTGTGTGTGTGTGTGTGTGTGTGTGTAAGAGAGAGAGAGACACAGAGAGACAGACAGACAGAGAGCACAACTATGGACAAGAAAGTCCCAGTTGGATCACAAAGAAAGGAAGCAGATGGTAATCGATTTATAAGAGGCTTAAAGGAAAAGATCAATAGAGGGAAGGAATTACATAAGGTTGGTTCACTGTCATTAATGTTTACATGCATGGAGAGATCCCATATGGCAGGGGTCCCCAACCGCCGGTCCGTGGACCGGTACCGGTCCGTGGAACAAGTCTTACCGGGCCGCTGGTTGCTGGGCGCCGCCATCTTTTTTTGGTAAAAAAGTGCTTCCGGTGAGCTTTTCCCAAAAAAGCTCACCGGAAGCGCTGGCGCCGCCATCTTTTTCGTCAAAAAAAGATGGCGGCGCCCAGTTGATGCCGGTACCGGGCCGCGGCGCCCAGCTGATGCCGGTACCGGGCCGCGGCGTCAAAAAGGTTGGGGATCACTGCCATATGGAACTTTCTTCCAATGTTTACTAAACTGACAAGGCTAACAAATGAATGTGTGTGTGTGTCTCTGTGTGTGTGTCAGAAAGAAAGAGAGAAAGGGGAAGGAAGGAAGGAAGGAAGGAAGGAAGGAAGGAAGGAAGGAAGGAAGGAAGGAAGGAA